ACAGGTTCAACAAAGAGAACCTGTCACCTCCAAATGCTATCACACAGGGGCTTGTTAGCTTCTGTGTGATAGCAATAAAGTTAAGTGGGGAAAAAAATGAATAAAAATAATAAGAAATTATAATTAAAATAAAAAAATTAAAAAAGTGATAAAAAAGTAAAAAATAATAAAATGGAAAATACAAAAAAATAAAAAAGTAAAAGATAATAAGATAAATTAAAAAGTAAAAAAAAAATTAAAAAAGGGATAAAAAGGTTAAAAAAATAAAGAAAAAATTAAAAAAATGTAAACCAACCCTGCCGCCCCTGCCATCTGGTTGCAATTCTCCATTGGGGCGTTTGGCGGGGAGGGGGGTGCATTGAGGAACCTGGCCTTGGGGCAGCAGAGAGAGTAAATCCGACCCTGGAGAGGGGGAGCAGACCATGGGTGGAGCAGCGGGGGGTGGAGCAGCGGTGTTGGAATGGTGGCCTTGTGGTAAATCTGGCCCTGTTCACAGCAGCAAAAATAACCAAAACTAAACAAAAATAAATCTTTCAGTAATCATCTACTTGTTTACAGTATTTACCCTCTTCAGTACAACTTCCACCATAAACACATATTTGAGTAGCTCTTTTGCTTTAATTCATAATACCTTGGTGGAATAAAGTGATAACACTTTCACATCTTTAGAGCAATGTGTTTACTGCTTGACAGATAAAAGAAGCCTGAACCAGCAGCTTCACCTATAGTCAATGATAAGCAAAGGGGATTCTAGGAAGTTAGTCATTAATGAGCATGACTGGAGAGCAATGTCCTGATACTGGTTCTCAGTGCTATAAACAACACTTCTAGTTTAACTCTAAACTTGCAAGCTGCTCCATGCAGCCCTCGACATGTTTTTCAGCTACTAATGCGACTTTGCACTAATAACTAAGTACACTGTGATTGTGTAGCTGCAAACACTTCCTACCTTGTCCCAGTGCCAGGAGCTCAGCATCCTGTACCATTCACAAACACCACTTCACCCTCATACAGTTCCTAAGCACAACACAATTCCTATTTACCATTAGATTTTTTTCTGAGAGATAGTCTCTCAAGGAATGACGCTCCTCCCTTTTCTTTTTTGGGTGGGCAGAGACCAGCGTGTGAAATCAACTAGTCCAGGCAGAAGTCTTGAGCTTCAACCAACGTCCAATTGCCCTGTTGACTTGGATTTTGTTTTGTGCTAAACATATTTATAAATAACAGAAAAGCCTTTCAAAAAATAAAAAAAAAACATACCTAATCCTTACTAATATATACCATAGGAAGAGCTTTGTCCCTGTTACCTGTTGCACAGGTTTTACTTCCCGTACCCATACGGTCTCAGGGTTTTGCACATATCTGTTGTGTCTAGGGGTGGACACAATTCTATAGAGTACAGAAGTAATTCACTGTCATGTAGCAGCAGAAAAACAGTCTTTTATGGACCAGGGATTGAGAACTTCCATTGATGGCAACAAAATAGAGAAAAAAGGAGGCATATATGCAACAAAAAGATGCATAAACCTTTGCAGGGTTGCCCTGGCAATACAATTTTCTAGCGGCTGCTACCGATTTTAACCAGTATTTAATTGCGAAAACTATTGCACAGATATACTGTATCTCTCTCTCTCTCTCTCTCTCTCTCTCTCTCTCTCTCTCTCTCTCTCTCTCTCTCTGTCTCTCTCTGTAACACTGCTATGTGTCATATCGGAAGAAGGGCTGAATGAAGCCCCATACTGTTTACCATCATTTTCATGCTGTTTGGGGTCCCACGTTTGCAATGGACTGATTTTGAAAATAAATCATACTGAAGTGCTGCAACTTCTTTGTCTGTATGTGTGTTGGGCAGGGAGCATAGGTTGTTTTGATGCAATAAATCACCTATCCTTGGCACACCAGCTGTGGTGACACTACAAATGCCATCATGCCTCTTTTTCTGGCTGCGGCTGTCTCGCAATGCCTCATGAGACCTGTAGTTCCAAAACAGCTTGAGTGCCAAGGTTGCCTATCCCTGGTCTATGCGATCCAAAGCTGGTTGACATGGTATGGCCAGCATTACGTTGCGTACAAAGGTTCAGCAGGTGTGCAAGCAGCTTGTAACAGTTATTTATACTGTGGACTGTTCATACAAAAAGGACTAATGCACATTTGTATAAAGCAGTCCTGGCAATTGTACAACCCCCTTTAAACTGCTAATAATAACTTTGTTAGGTACATCTGATGTCAATCGGGCGATTTTATGTCTAGAGGCAAATCTCTGGCGACACGATGGCTAAAGAGGTTGTCCATCTGTCCCTATGGAATCGCTTCCTTGGCGAGTTGTTGCTGTCGCTGGCCCAAACGCGGCTGAATTTCCATTGGACTGTTAGCGATGAGAGCGATACCTCGCTGTCTTAGCTACAGGGGGTGCAATTCCATAGGGAGAAACAGGCGATACTGCCGCTGGCAATTTCAACAAATCGTTAGCGACAGTCGCCCGTCTGACATCAGCCTTACTTCAAGTAACTTTATCCTCAAATCATATCTGCATCAGGAAACCTTTAAAGCACTGCTGCCTAAAAAAACAAGACAATGTCTAACCCTAGAGAGAGAACCACTTCATGGAAAGCCCTGGGGTGCTAGGCAGAGATCAGAGGCGTGTAATTATTGGGGTGACACTTACTTGTGCTCTTCTGGCTGTCCCTGAGATTGAAGAGGGCTATGCAAGGAAAACAAGACATATAACAAGAGCTTGGAGCCAGGGAGGGAGGGTGCAAGGTACAGAAGCTCCGCGATTTCGAAAGAAGACAAGATCACTCAGCGAATTCTGAGAGTTGTGGAGAAAGCATTTCTTATCAGCAGGGGGAGGAGGACGGAGGGAAGCAGGAGGGGGCAGAGGGAGGGATGGAGGGAGGCAGAGGAAAGGTGACAGGCAGCTGCTGGGTGATAAGGACCACCATCATCACTGAGATCAGGGAGCTGACACTGACAGGCTGATCTGTGTATGGGACTGACAGGCTGATCTGTGTATGGGATTGGCCTGTCCTATGTACAGGGACTTTCCAAGCCAGCCATAGTTCTCCACAAGCCACTTACCTCTCTCCTCCAACAAAGGAAAGCCTCTTATATCATGAGGATATTTTCTATCACCAGCAAATCTGATGGGGAATTTCACCTTCACAATAGAAAGGATTTTGCCTGTTTTTTTGTGCATCTAAACAGCCAACTAGAAAAGTGCAGCCATGATTCAATAAAGCATTTGCTGGCAGTATGGGTGTATTAAAAAGTGCTGCGCCTATTTTAGGAAAGCCTTGAGAGAGTTTTGTTAAGAGTTCTGACCCATGCAACAGATTGGGGTACTTCTTATGTGCAGCACTTTCACTAACTTCACTATGGCTGTGACAGATTCAAAAAGATTTAATGCCAATTCATAGGTAATGAAACTGTAGTAAAAAGCGGGGCATGTTTGCGTGTGCCACCCCTCCCCCCGACCTGTCACTTGCTTCTAGGATGCTGTCGGCTCAACAGCATCCCTGATTGCTAGGGCACTGTCAGCTGAGCAGCATCGGATGCTGTCAGCTGAAGAACATCACTGGTTGCTAGGACACTGTCGGCTGAACAGTATCAGTGGTTGCTAGGACACTATCGGCTGAACAGCGTCACTGGTTACTAGGATGTTGTGGGCTGAACAGCATCACTGGGTGCTAGATGATGTGGACTGAACAGTGTCTGTGGTTGCTAGCATGCTGTTAGTCAGATAAACAGCGTCACTGGGTGCTAAGGCACTTTCAGTTGAGCAAACTCACTGGTTGCTAAGACACTGTCGGCTGAACAGCATCACTGGTTGCTAGCATGCTGTCAGCTGAACAGCATCACTGGGTGCTAAGGCACTTTCAATTGAACAGCCTTACTGGTTGCTAAGACACTGTCAGCTGAACAGCATCACTGGCTGCTAAGGCACTTTCAGTTTAACAGCCTCACTGGTTGCTAGGATACTGTCAGCTAAACAGTGTCCCTGGTTGCTAGCATGCTGTCAGCTGAACAGCATCACTGGCTGCTAAGGCACTTTCAGTTTAACAGCATCACTGTTTGCTAGGATACTGTCAGCTGAACAGTGACCCTGGTTGCTAGCATGCTGTCAGCTGAACAGCATCACTGGCTGCTAAGGCACTTTCAGTTTAACAGCCTCACTGGTTGCTAGGATACTGTCAGCTGAACAGTGTCTCTGGCTGCTAAGGCACTTTCAGTTTAACAGCGTCACTGGTTGCTACTTGCTAGGACACTGTCAGCTGAACAGCATCACTGGCTGCTAAGGCACTTTCAGTTTAACAGCCTCACTGGTTGCTAGGATACTGTCAGCTGAACAGTGTCCCTGGCTGCTAAGGCACTTTCAGTTGATCAGCCTCACTGGTTTCTAAGACACTGTCGGCTGAACAGCATCACTGGTTGCTAGAATGCTGTCAGATGAACCGCATCACTGGGTGCTAAGGCACATTCAGTTGAACAGCCTCACTGGTTGCTAGGACATTGTCAGCTGAACAGCCTCACTGGTTGCTAGCATGATGTCATCTGAACAGTGTCACTGGCTGCAAAGGCACTATTGAGTTGAACAGCCTTACTGGTTGCTAGGATGCTGTGAGCTGATTGGCCGGGAAGTCAGCCAATCAGCTCCATCCCTCGTCATCCCATGACGAGGGAGCATGGAGCTGGCCTCCCAGCCAATCAGAAAGCAGGGCGCCGCATCATTACACGGCGCCCGGCTTCCATGATTGGCCAGCAAGACGCTCCTGGCTGGAGAGGCCCCGGGGGTGACAGGCTGGACATGTCGAGGTGAGAGGGGACAGAGATCCACACTGATCATATGATTATTAATATGGGGGATTCGTATGGGACGGCTTTCTTGTTAATTGGGAAACCGGGTGGCGAGTCTTTACATGCCGCCCGGCTTCCCAGCTAATCAGGAAGCCAGGTGGCGAGTCATTACATGCCACCTGGCTTCCTGAATGGGACTTCCGGTACTCGGTAATTGGTAACGGCGCGTACCGGAAAAAATTATCAGTACTCGTACTCTGCACCAAAATATCGGTGCATCCCTAGAGGAAACCCACACAAGCACAGGGAAAACATGCAAACTCCCTTGCAGATATTGACCTGGCCAGGATTTGCTGCAAGGCAGAAGCGCTAACCACTACGCCACGGTGCTGCCCAAATTAGGTTAAAAACTTTAATTTAACTCAAAGTGAGAGGAAATGTCTGAAGTAGTTCTCACTGGAACGGGTGTTCCAATTGGAAGATTTTATCTCATGTCCTATTCCCATGACAATGGTCATGTGTTACCACATCAGACCACCCAGGTGTGAAGGGGGCTAAGAATAAATTTCCCTCTACTGCTTAAAACCATAGATGTTAAAAAGGAACTTTACCATTATCTTTAAAATTAAAAACAAAGGCACATTTAGAAATGTTTAGTAATGACAATCTACAAACACATACTTCTAGATAATTGCAGACGTTTTATTCTTCACATACCTTATCTTTCTATTCTTACCCATTCTTTTCACCGTGGGCAGATAAATAAATCTCCCTTTACTTCCTCGAACTCTGGTACATGGGATTAGGTCATGTGACCATCCACATTATCTCAAGGGGAAAAAATGCCTTTCCCTGAGATCTCGCAAGATTTTGCAGTTTACAGATGAGATTTCCCAGCAATGCATTGTGATGTAACCTTCGCGGGATGCATCTCTTAGGCATGGGCTAAATAACTAATGCTTAAGAAGACTAGGAAGTGGAAAAACAGTAACTGTAAGAAAAAGAAAAATATGTTTATTTAATTGATGAATGTAAGATGATTTCATATCAGCATGCAGAGCTGAATGCTTATGTGACTGTTTCGCGAAAGGGGGTGAAGGTCCACTTTAAGAGAAACCCTGAAATGGTTATCTGTCTTGCAGAATATGCTGCTCCAGGCTTAGTTGTTCCAAATGCTTCGACATTGGTCACATGACCTCTGTTGGGGAGATAATTAGAGTCATTGATTAGTAGTTTAGTATCTTAGAGCTTCTTGTAACAGATAGAAATATAAGTTAATGGGTTGAGTAGGAAGGTACAGATAGCTTATCTGTCCCTAAGTAAGCACCAGCAGGAAAATGTATTTATTTACACATGATACAATCATCTAATGATATGAACACTCATTTTAGTGAATTGGAAGAGGGGCTTGCAACTGATAAACAAGTCAGTGTTGAATAACCTTAATGTCCTATTCAACTGTGCCTGCCCATCTCCACCTTTGAAAGCTCACTGTTGGCACATTGCTGTGATGGTCTCTTTTTGTGACCAATAGTAAGATGTGTGAGGGGGTAAAGAGCTGTCTGGAATGATGTGTAAGCACAGATGTCTGCTAGTTATGTATCACATCAGTTGGTAGTGAGATGGAATGAGATATCTGATTTCCACAAGTCATCATTGATAGAATACTGGGTCCCTTCACTTGAGGTGGATGCTTGTGGATAAGTGTCTTACTAAAGTTTTTGACATTTTGATGCTAAGCCTACATGTGGATTTGTTGTGAGATCAAAAGGCCTCCCCATTATACACTGAATCCCCTCTGACCAGTAAGACTGGTTTGTCAGTGTCTATAGTAGTCAATCAGCAGAACGGATACAATTGGGAGCTTTCTCAATATGTAAACCTCACTTTGGAATGGATTGCCATTTTCTGTGTTGTGCACAGAGAGAGAAGAGTGGGAAAGGGTTATAGCTGTTCTGCATCAGCTCAAACCCCTTTTCTCTGGAGTATCCACTAGTTCATGACAGTGCCATTTTCATATGTACAAAAAAGAGGGCCGCACTCTGACTTCTTCCCCTTAGGTGTTAAAGGACCTTGCTCCAGCCCTATGTGAAGGTGATCATTTAAAACACAGGGTTGTCATATACTGGAAAAGCAGGTGTGGCTGAGTCTTGGAAAGCAAAATATGGAATAATCTGGTTTGGCTCTACAGCATACTATTCCTATCATGTACTCTTTAAATCAATGCTGTTCTATTTTCTGGTACATTTCACATTTTTATTATACTTGTGGGTGTTCTTGCAAAAGTTGCAATACTTTATGTTTGCCTAGAGTAAAAGAACTATCTCATATGAACATCAGACACAGCCCATGCCAAACCAGCTAAGTCAAACAAATCATTGAGGGACGCAGGTGAGATACATCATAAACATCATATCCCACTTTACTAATATTCCCATGCAAAAAAAAGCAGTGTATAGTGTTTCCAGCACTCACACATTTGCACTTCTTGAAATTTGTGTCAGGTTTTCTATCACAAAACGTTAAAATGTATTTGTGTGCCCAATGGGTGAAGCTAGAAGATGACAGACCCAGAAGAAAATTAAGATTACATGGCACCAGTAGGAATGGAGAAGATACGGGGAGGTCAGACCTCATATCGCAAAAGAGAAGACCCAGAGGTAATTGTGTCATAATGTGCAAGTATGCATATTATGACTAATGCTGGCCTCCCCTACCATCCTTTACTTCCACGTTAATATGAAAAATATGTTCCTATTATACAACTTAATAAAAGGCTATGCGTTGTTTAGAAAAAGGAGCAGGAGAGTCAAAATGGTTAAAACGAAACTAATAAATCTGTTTGCTGTGTACAGGGGGTTAACAAGACTGCTTAGTAGTTGGAACTCAGACATTTCAAGGTTATAGCATACTGTATGACTCAGTTCAACCGAGGATGATATCTGAAAGCATTATTTTGTATTTTGACTTGGTGACTGGAAAGAAGTTAAATGTTTTTTTTTTCCCC